ATCTTGGAGCAGGCACGAGGCCTCTGCCCCCAGGGCCTGTGCTTCCCGTGGCCGCGGCCTGGCCTGGGGTGCCCGATGATGGGGCTTCTAGGAGCGCCAGGTGGGGGGTCACCCAGCCGCCCAGGAAGCTCTGGCGAGCCCGCCCGCCCAGCAGCCTCCCCTTTCAGAAGCCCGTGTGAACTGCTCGGTGCACCCGCTGCTGCTGCCAGAGGGCTCACCCGCCTGCCCCAATCTCTACGCCAACTGGCTGGTCATCCTGCTGCTGGTCACCTTCCTGCTCGTCACCAACGTGCTGCTCATGAACCTGCTCATCGCCATGTTCAGGTGCCCGGGCTCAGGAACGGGCCCCATGGGAGGAGGCCTGGAGGGGGGAGGTCACCCCCAGACCTGGGCCCCATCGGGGGAGGCCTTGAGGGGGAGGGTCACCCCCAGACCTGGGCCCCACGGGAGGAGGCCTGGAGGGGGGAGGTCACCCCCAGACCTGGGCCCCATGGGGGGAGGCCTCGAGGGGGAGGGTCACCCCCAGACCTGGACCCAGGGGGGGAGGTCTGGAGGGGGGAGGTCACCCCGAGCATTGCCCCCGCCTGACACCAGGGAGGGGTGTGGGAGAGGCTTTCCCAAGCCCCTGCCCCATGGGCCGCCCCTCACACCAGCAGGGCCAGGGCCTTTGGAGGCCGAGGGTTTGGAGGTGTCGGGGCGGCAGCGGGGTCAGTGGAAGACCCGGATGAGTGAACCCCACATTAGACACCCCCCCGGACCCAGTGATCAGAGCCACTCGGGAGGGGGGCTCGGTTCTGAGGCCCTCGCTCAGCCGCCCGGGCGCTGCAGCTACACCTTCCAGATGGTGCAGGGCAACGCGGACATGTTCTGGAGGTTCCAGCGCTACCACCTCATCGTGGAGTACCAGGAGCGCCCCGCCCTGGCCCCGCCCTTCATCCTGTTCAGCCACCTGGGCCTGGTGCTCAGGAGAGTCTTCCGGAAGGAGGCAGGGCAGAAGCGGGCACGCCTGGGTGAGGCGGCCGGTGGGCAGGAGGGGCCGTTGGCACAGGCTGAACCAGGGTGCCCCGGGCGCAGCTGCACTGATGGGGGGGCGTTGGGAGGGCCTGCGGGTGGCACCCCGGGCGGGACCCGGCTGAGCTGCCCCGGCTCCCTGCCCAAGGCCCACCTGGCTGTGTCAAGCCCGCGGCCGCCCCGCTTCCCCAGAGAGAGACCTGCCGGAGCCCCTGGACCAGAAGATGGTGACGTGGGAGGCGGTGCAGAAGGAGAGCTACCTGAGCCGGCTGGAGCGCAGCAGGAGGGACAGCGAGGCGGAGGTGCTGCGGAGGACCGCCCACAGGTGCCAGGGGCCGGAGACGGGCCGCTCACAGGCACCGCGGGCGTCAGGCTGCCGTGGAGCGTGGCCCCTGCACTCAGGACGAGCTGGGACACTGAGGCTAGAGAGGGGCGCGGGCTATGGCGGATCTCGAGGGCCCCGCACCGACGCCTCCTGACCCGAACGGGGCTCTTCTGGGGCCTTGCGGGCCCCGTGTTTGGGGGACAGGGCCCTGTGTGGTGTCCTCCCTGCCCCGGGGTGTCCGAACGGAAGCCTGCCCCTCGCCTGCCTCCCAGGTGCCCCAGGTGGTGCACCTCAGACCTCCGAGCCCTCGGTGCCTGCCTGCGGGTGGGCCATTCCTGCCCCCTGGAGGGCGCAGCAGCACTGTGTGCACCCAGATCTGAGGCGAGGGGCACGGCCAGAACACCCTGACTCAGGACCAGAGGCCTCAGCCCACCCCAAGGGCCTGGGTGGCAGGACGAGGGAGGGCGGGAGAGCTTGGTTCAGAGGCCCTGTGGCCAACGGTGCCTGCTGTCCCTGCTCTGCCACAGGGTGGACGTCATAGCCAAGCAGCTCGGGGGGCTGAGAGAGCAAGAGAAACGCATCCGGGGCCTGGAGTCACAGGTGGGCTGCCAACCAGACCCTGCCCCCTCCAGGCTAAAGCCGCACCCAGGCTGGGCTCAGCCCCCCTGCCCAGCCATCACCTAGAGCAGCGGTGCCCTCCCTAGAGGGATCCTGTCCACGCGACACACCCCTGGAGCCGCGCCCTCCGGCCCTCTTCCTCCGAGTGCAGCCAGGGGGCGTCCCAGGCAGCAGGGTCCTGGCAGGAGAGGGCGGGGAGGGTCCTGGGGCTCCCCTGGACACCTCTCCCTCTGGCAGGTCAACTACTGCACGGTGCTCCTGGCCTCCGTGGCCGACAGGCTGCCCCTGGGCAGTGCCCACCACAGTGAGTGTCTGGGAGGCCCTGTCCCTGCCCCCTGCTGCCCCGCCTTTGAGGTGCAGAGATGCCCTCTGGCCAAGCCCGACCCAGCCAGGCCTGAGGGTGGTCTCACAGCCCCCGAGGGTCCCAGGCTCCCCCTCCCCCTCCCTCCCTGGGCACTGCGGTGCGCAGCCCTCCCCACCCCCCCCCCAGACTCTTGGAACTTGGCCATGGGGAGCCGGCAGGCCCCTGCTGAGCGTGGAGGGGCCGGGGGAGCAGAGATCACCCAGAGGCCGGCCGGACCGCTGCTCTCGGACACCTGAGCCACTTGGACCGTCAGCACACGGACCCTCTCCCGGAGCCCTAGGCCCAGACCGGGTGGGTGGGGGCCACGGCCCTTGGCGAGTTATCCCAGGTCCACCCCACACACTGTGCCCCCCTCCCCCCCAATGGCTTCATCAAAAGGAGCCTCAGAGCTGCCCGCCAGCCTGCGCCAGGACAGCGAGCGCTCACCGAGCCC